CCTGAGTTTATTGAGATGGTTAATCTCACCTCGATTTGGGAATATATTTCAGGCACTCTAGTAGCAGTGGAATCCTCTCAAGGCAAGAGGCATGTGCAGGGTGGCTAGAGGATTCAGTTGGAGCATATGTTTAGCTTAGTATTTTGAGGATGATTGTATATTGTAATGCCTGGCAACTTGCAAGTATCAACCACTGTCCCCACACACTAACACGAGACTTTTCAGTGTGCTTTGTCCTCACTCGCACACTTCCCGATAAAACTTCCACACCATACTGGAAGAGAGGCCCTGCTCTGATACCACTTGTAACGCCTGGCAACTTGCAAGTATCAATGATTGTCCCCACACACTAACACAAGACTTTTCAGTGTGCTTTATCCTCACTCACACACTTTCTGGGAAAACTTCCCAAGAGGTCAACCATCCCAGAATTGTCCCAAGTCAAGCATGCTTAACAGTGGAGTTCTTCCGTTCCGGGCTACCAAAAAGTAGATGCATCTTGTTAGTATAGGTAGTACCAATTAATTCTTATAAACTATTCTCAACTGTACCATCTCATACCAGCACAGTCTCTGAAATCCCTCTCTTTCGAGTGTTGATTCGATTCATTCCTGTACCCCGTCGCTGGAAGCCTGCCAAGAGCCGCTCTTTGTCCATGCCCTTTCGCACCGGCGATCACTCCCCGCCCTCGTCAGCGCTCGGGATGTTACATATATCATGTGTTGTTTGGCATGAGATATTATGATCATGCATTTAACAGTTAGTATCCATTTTGAGAGGCACATGTTGCTTGTATCTATATATGTAAACTATAAAGACATATATTTTTGTTTGTATCATGTTAGACATATATGAAATGGCACGGAGCCATATTTCAGTATAGGTATTTGGATATGATTTTTTGGATTTCAGGTATCAAGTTAATATGTGGGATTTTATCCCTAGATGTCCAGATTACAGTCATTATGCTGTTCATTTGGCTCTATCTGAAATGGTACATGATATCATATTCGGATAGTGATTTGATCATTTGTTATGATCACAGGTTATCAAGTTAATTTTGTACAGTTATAAGACTGTATAGTCTATATCAGGAAAAATAAGTTTGCATGGAAAAATATACATAAAGTTTACATAAAGGATAAAAAAACTAAGTAACGTAGTTAGAAAGGACTATTGTGATACTTGACATGAGTCTTCTGCTACTTTATTCAAGTATGCATCACTTTTATTACCATATGTCATGTTAAAAAATCGGGTCGAGACGAGACGTTACACGCCATACTGCATTTTCCCAAAAATTAAACTTTGTCTGCTATTTTCTGGGAAAATATGAAAGGAGCATGAGAATTGTAAGGGAAGTTTTTTTTTTCTCTACGTGAATGACTCTAAAAAAAATTGAACTTTGAAGCACTTGCTTTTTCCTTTCGAATCTTATGAATCTTGAATAGAACTTTCATTATGAAAAACTAAACTGAAATGAAGTTACAAATCTGTATATATACATCAGATTCAGAAACTGGTAAAGGAACGTGCAAAGCAAAGAAATAACTAACTCTGCAGTAACTAACTTCTAACTAACTGCTAAACTGATTAACTAATCTACTGATAAGTTAAATAAAGGTGACTTGTCTTCATCCTTTATTGTGCTGACGTGTCTTCAGCATTTTTCTGATATGGTAATATCCCCCCACAAGTTGGACTTAGAATATCGATGAGTCCCAACTTGGATATAGCAGTAGTAAAGGTAGAAGGGAAGAGTGGCTTAGTAAAGACATCTGCAACCTGTTGAGAAGAAGATACAGGTAGAAGATGAATGAGGCCAGAGGTGACTTTCTCTCGAACAACATGGCAATCTAATTCCACGTGTTTTGTGCGTTCACGGAATGTGGGGTTATGAGTGAGATAGATAGCAGAAACATTGTCACAATAAACTGGAACAGGATTGGGCGAAGGAATATGAAGATCCTTGAGAAGAAAATCCAACCATTGCAACTCACAAGCTAAGCTGGCCAATGCCCTGTATTCTGCTTCACAAGAAGAACGAGAAACGGTTGTCTGCTTTTTTGTTTTCCATGAAATGAGAGAAGATCCAAGGAAGACGCAATGGCCTGTAATAGAGCGTCTGGTATCCAAGCAGCATGCCCAATCGGAATCAGAATATCCAGAAAGCTTCAATGAGTTATTTGAAGGAAAGAACAAGCCATTGCTGGGAGAATTTTTGATATAACGAAGCACACGTAGTGCTGCCTTGTGATGAAAGTCAGTAGGAGCAGAAACATATTGACTTAATTGTTGAATCGAGAATGTAATATCTGGTCTAGTTGTAGTCAAGTATAGAAGTCGTCCCACAAGTCTTCTATAAGGAGAAGGATCAGCCAAAGGTTCACCTGTGGATCGACAGAGTTTGGAAGAAGCATCCATGGGAGTTGTGGCAGGTTTTGCACCAAGCAACCCACTGTCAGATAAGAGCTCTAACGCATATTTGCGTTGATTCAGAGTGATACCTTTCTTCGAACGAGATATTTCAAGCCCCAAAAAGAAGCGAAGTGATCCAAGATCTTTAATTCTGAAACTTCGATCAAGGAATGTTTTGACACGTTGTATTTCTCCCATATCATCCCCAGCTAGAACGATGCCGTCTACATAAACAAGGAGAGCAGTAAAGGAGGATGCTGTTTTAATGGTGAACAAAGAATGGTCAGCTGAAGATTGGATGTAATTCAAGGATTTTAGAGCAGTTGTGAGTTTATGATGCCATTGCCTGCTAGCCTGTTTCAATCCATAGAGGGACTTGGTTAATTTGCAGACCTGGTTGGGTTTGTCAGTAGTAACACCAGGGGGAAGAGTCATATAGACTTCTTCATTAAGATCACCATGCAAGAAGGCGTTGTTGACGTCCAATTGTTCTAGAAACCAATTGTGTGCAGCTGCAAGAGCAAGAACCGTACGAACTGATGTGAGTTTTGCTACTGGGGAGAAAGTATCAAAATAGTCTATGCCTTCTACTTGGTTATATCCTTTGGCAACCAGCCGGGCTTTATGCCTCTCGATTGAACCATCAGCCTTGTGCTTTGTTTTGTATACCCATCTTATGATACCATCTTACCATCTTATGAATCTTGAATAGAACTTTCATTATGAAAAACTAAACTGAAATGAAGTTACAAATCTGTATATATACATCAGATTCAGAAACTGGTAAAGGAACGTGCAAAGCAAAGAAATAACTAACTCTGCAGTAACTAACTTCTAACTAACTGCTAAACTGATTAACTAATCTACTGATAAGTTAAATAAAGGTGACTTGTCTTCATCCTTTATTGTGCTGATGTGTCTTCAGCATTTTTCTGATATGGTAATAAGGTTGCAGTGCAAAGGCGCTCTCGTTTTCCACAATGCATAATGGAATCTCGGACTTTCGAGGCTCATTGTTTTTTGAATGTTTTCAGAAATATGCAAAGGACGAGTAAAACTTTGGTATTACAATCCCTTTTTCGACATTTGGTAAAATTTTCACCGCTTTTGAAAAAAAAAATCCCACAACATTGAAAAAATTTATCCTTTTGAAAAAAAAAAACCCAGTTGAGTACATTCCATGCACAATAAAGTTTCACAAAAGAGAAGAAGGAAGTGAGAAATGACTAAGGATAAATGTTTTTTAAAAATCTTTCCCCTCTTTATTTAGAATAATTTGTTTTTGGGTAAAGAATTTCTCTCGTCAATGGAGATAAGTTATTTCTGGAGAGCCCAAAATGATGTTGTTTTGGGGCAAAATTAAGGTGTTTTTGTAATTTTAATATATTGCAGGGTTATATTTATCTTTATCGTTATAATTTTTTAATCTTATAATCCCAAAACGATATCATTTTGAGCTCGCTAAGGATAATTTTATCTCCAATGATTGCAGAAATAGTTTTCCCTTTGTTGTTAAATTATTAACCTCAAAACGACATAGTTTTGGGGCGGCTGGAGCCAAGCTTGTCTCAAGTGAGTGGAGAAATATTTTTTTTCATATATATATATATATATATATATATATATATATATATATATGGGGTAGGATCCTTTGACACTGGTGTCAAATTTCAAGTTTGACACCTCATCTGTGAGCTGTTAGATCAAAAAAGATCAATGGCGTCACATGCTTACAAATCAGAGTGATTGATCTTTTTTGATCTAATGATTCTCAGATGAGGTGTCAAACTTAAAATTTGATACCGGTGTCAAAGGATCCTGCCTTTATATATATATATGGACATGTTTGATACTAAACTTTTACCATTTATTTTTCGTCAATTCGACGATAGTAATTTATTGGGTATTAATAATTAATTAATAAGTATAACTCAATAAATTATAAAGGTTAGATTTATAAAAATCAATGATTAAGATTTGGTGCCAATTTTTTTAATTTAACACTAGAGATAAGATATTGTTATTACCAATTAGTGTTACTGTCAATATCACTACCAGTTTGTTTCACAGTTAGATCGATTATGTGGATCCAACGGTTATATTTATTTTCACCTTTGTATGCTTATGATTCCCCATATTTAATGTGAAAGCGTTGTTTTTGGGGAATCATAACTATACAAAGGTGAAAATAAATAAGATAATCATAAGCATACATAGGTGAAAATAAATATAAAGTATTAAATATGTGGAATTATAGTAATAAAAAGATGAAAATAAATGTAACCGCTTGATCAACATAATCGATCTAACAAAAAAATTGATAATAACAATATCCTATCCGAAATCTGGCAATATATTATAGAAATATATAAGAATATTTAAAGTTAGGAGTTTGTTTTTCTCATGTTGCATGAGAAAACAAACACTTCCTACACACACCATAAAAAAAGTGTGCCATTTATTTTTTTGTTTTTTACTTTTTTTAAATAGGTGATCCTACACTTGATGTATGTACGAATGAAATTAGAATTCTCCTTGCATAATATTTAAAGCTAACTTCTTCTTTACCTCGGAAAAAACAAATGGTTGAAGCATTGTTTCGAACACTTGTTCCCACGCCCATGCTTCCTTCTTCTGCATGCCCTTTACACGTCCCTCCAACCCATAATGGCTTCAACCCTTCTTTCAAGAAGTCCAGACGAAACCTCAAACTTGAGACACCCCAATATCATGGACTTTCTGCTGTTTCAACCTGTGAGCAAAACTTTCATCTTCATGACTGGCCTCAGCTCCTTCAATCCTCAATTGGGTCACAAGATTATATGCTGGCTCAGGCAATTCATGGGTATCTAATCAAATCTGGTTGTGAAGGTGACCTGTTTGTGGATAACAATCTTGTGAACCTTTACTCAAAGTTCAATAAAATGGGTAACGCACAGAGGATATTTGATGAAATGCTTGTTAGGAGCACAGTCACTTGGACTACCCTCATGAAGGGGTATTTGAAGAGTGGTGATCTTCAATCTGTTTTCCATATTGCACTTGATATGTGCATGCTTGGAGAGATGTTCAATGAACATACTTGTTCAGTGGTCCTGCAGGCATGTAAATCCCCTGAAGATCATGTTTTTGGTGAGCAGATTCATGCTTTTGTCATTAAAAATGGGCTTCAGGAGAATGTTGTTGTGGCTACTTCATTGGTTTCTATGTACTCTAGAAGCGGCCACTTGGGTCATGCAGAAAAAGTGTTCACTGGCACTAGTGTTAAAGATGCTCAGTGCATAAATTATATGATTTTGGAATATGGCAAGGCAGGCTTGGGGGATAAGGCATTTCAGATCTTTGTGGATATGCTAAACTCTGGATTGAACCCAAGTGATTATACATTTACGAATTTGATCGTTGCATGTAATCTAAGTATAGGAATGTACATAGGAAAGCAACTACATGGGCTTGCAGTGAAGTACGGTTTTATGCGCGAAACATCTTTTGTAAATGCAGTAATTACAATGTATGGGCAACATGGAATGGTCAAAGAGGCTGAGAGAGTGTTTTTTGAGATGGATGAGAGGTCTTTGATTTCCTGGTCCGCACTTCTGTCAGCATTTGTTAAGAACGGCTATGCTAACAGAGCCCTTGAATTTTTCTTAAATATGCTTCAGATTGATATGCCTCTTGATTCTGGTTGCTTCAGCACTGTACTTGATGGATGTTCAGAATGCAATAATTTGAAATTTGGGCTTCAAATTCATGGACTTACAATAAAGCTTGGCCATGTCTCTGATATAAATTGTGGTACTTCTTTAGTAGATTTGTATGCTAAATGCAGAAGTTTGCAGTCTGCAAGAGCAATTTTTGACAGGCTCCCAAATAAAACTATTGCTTCCTTTAATGCAATTTTAATTGGATATTTAAATTCAAAAATAAGAGATGATGAAGAAGATCCTATGGCTTTTTTCAGCAAACTAAGATTCAATGGTGTGAGACCGGATATGGTAACATTTTCACGGCTCCTTAGTTTATGTGCTAATCAAGCATGCTTGGTAGCTGGGAAGAGTCTTCATGCATACACAATAAAGGTGGGACTTGAAGATTATACTGCTGTAGGCAATGCTGTAATTACTATGTACGCTAAATGTGGCAGTGTTCATGATGCTTATCAAATATTTAGTTGTATGAACCGTGATCATGTGACCTGGAATGCAATAATTTCTGCATATGCTGTTAATGGTGAAGGAAACAATGCACTTTTGCTCTTTGAGGACATGAAGGGACAGGGATTTGCTCCAGATGAGATTACTATATTGGCTGTTCTCCAAGCATGCAGTTACTCATGTTTATGGGAAATTGGGTTATGCCTATTCAATGAAATGGAACCCAAGTATGGGATCAGGCCTGTGATTGAGCATTACTCTTGCGTGATTGATCTTTTAGGTCGAGCAGGAAATCTATCCAAAGCAATAGATATCATCAACAAATGCCCATTTTCTGAATCATCTTTGCTTTGGAGGACTTTGGTCAATGCCTGTAAGCTGTGTGGTGATTTACAACTTGGAATGTGGGCTTCCAAAAAATTGCTTGATTTAGCACCCAATGAGGCCTCCTCTTACATACTTGTATCAAATATGTATGCTGAAGGAGGCATGCCAGAAGAGGCTGCAAAGGTGAGAACAGCTATGAATGACTTGAAGTTAATTAAAGAAACTGGCTCTAGCTGGATTGAGGTAGAAAATGTAGTTCACTATTTTATTGCAAGTGACAAAGACCACCCTAAAAGCAGAGAAATTTATGCGTATCTGGATCTGTTGACAGATGAAATATATTGGAGCTGCGAGAACAAAAATAATCTCCAACTGCTCTCTGTGACATAATGATGTTAGAAATGATCTAGTTCAGTTGCAAGATTTCAAAGGGGGAGGTTCTGATAATTTCACTATAGTAATTCTGTATACCATTTCTAACCAAGAGAAGGTTGGAAAATTTTGAACAGCATCGTTTGTAAGATTCATTGTACAGTGACTGCCAGAAGTTTTTGAGTTAGAAACTGGTAAAACATCTTTCTTTTTTTCTTTATGGAGGTTTTCATTGGGATGCATAGTGAACCAAAATCATTTATTGTTGTAATCTTTGTGAAAAATCCAGAACTTGACCGAAAGGAGTTCATGCATTATATAATTCATGAAAATCAAAGTATAGCTCTGGCATGTGATGGAGTAAGTAGACTTGAATATTATTGCATTTTGGAATGCAATGTATCATGGATTTAGTTACTGTTTCAAATTATTCTTAACTTTTCATAATCCAAATTTTACCATAATTTTATGTATAGTTCCTGACAGAGACCTCCATTGCCTAACCCCTTGAAATATCAGTGACAAATGGATACAAGATTGGCAAAAACGTGAGGTTAAGGACTTAAGAATCTCCTTGTTCAGAGAAAGCTTAAAAATGATGCCTTGATTATATTTCATCGCCAAGAATCTTATCTTTTTGGCTGATACTGAATTTTTCAAACTAGGCATTGTATCTAGTTTTGTAGACAATGTGTCGCAGCCTGACACCCGATACTTTTCTAAACCAGTAATGGTAAAAAAATGCCGTACACTGGAGATTCACGGTCCAAATACAAAAATGCACTAGAAAACGAAAATACTTTTCTACTGTTTTTAACTTTTAGTTTGAAAGCGTGGAAACTTTTTTGCTGCTAAATAAAGGTGATCAATTACTAGCAAAATCATGCGCAAATTCCGTGCAAAATTTGAGCATCACTGCTCAGTTACTCTCTCATATTTTTTTTTAGATGTTTCAATTAGTTCTCACTTCGCGACTAATCTGATTCGAAGCGGATTTCGGGATTAAGATTTTAAATCGCTCTCAAAGACAGTATTGAAGAGGATCGAACACATGCTCTAACTTCCAACTTATTCAGTTCCCTGACACCAATTGAACTACCCATCACTGTTCTCTTTCTCTCATTTTTAAGTTGTTAGATATCTAATCTTTTGATTGATGAATAACTTGTTTCTTAGTTGACTAATTGCTGCACAAGTTGGATTTAATTTAGGAAAGAAACGACAATTTTAAAATATATCCACATTTTAAAGGTATTTGGCTAGGCTCTTGCATTCTACAAGTGAGAGAAACCCACCTTCATGTCAAAGCCAAACTTGAACATGCATCAACTAACACTACATTTTAGTGCGTTAAGCATGGCATTCCTCGTTTGTTTATTAAGCATGGTCTGCGAGATATTTTCTCATAAGCTAAACAATTATTTCTTTCTCCTGTGATTTAGAATTTGATAATAAACAACTGATTAGGTAGATATGGGAGGACCGGAAATGGATCCTCTGATGTGGAAAAAAAAACATGATATGATCATGTGAAAGATCACAACCATACAAAGGTAAATCAACAGTTATGATTTCGTAACTATCTATTTTAACATTTCTTCTCTTTCTTTTTTTATTACTATTGATCTACCTTTGTATGGTTATGATTCCCCACATGACATGGTCATGTAAATTTTTATATGAGAAGATCCAGATCCGGGAGAACAAGTTTGGTAAACCACAAAATTTAATTTTGTAAAGAACATTACCAAAAATGTGGGATTTAAATACGTGTGTCGGCAATGCATTTGCAAGTAGTGGAAGCCAACTAATTACAATAAGCAATATATTAATGTACAAAACACAAAAAAAAAAAACATTTATTCAACACATACACAACCAACCAAATGATCGTGTCTACCAATCGTAACACACCATTAACAATCACTCAAAAACACTCCAATTGGTTTCTATATAATATGATATATATACCAACATCCATATCTTCTTTTTCCTTATAATGCAAAACCCTCTCGAGCCCTTTAAGTTAAATTTAAAAGGAAAAGGGGCTCTCATCAAACTATGTCATGTATTATGCCCATAATCTTTTTCTCTTTCTCTCTTTTTGGTCTATAAATGGGATTTGAAAATATGATATTATAGAGCTTAAAAGAACGATCTTTTGGTAGGAGCTCTTCCAACTGCTTTCATAAGGTTGGCAATCTCCAAAACCCTGGCTACTTTTGTTCCCCTTTTAGCCTCTGCTGATGCCCTTCTCTCCTCTGCTTTCCTATGAGCTTTTGCTGCCTGATTTTGCATTTTCTCCAGTGCTTTTGCTCTTTTCTCCTCCAGCTTCCTCTGCACAATGCGTAAAATTCTTGGTTAATGATGGACAAAATTGTAAATTCATTGTTCAATAGTCAAAGTTCTGTTTTACTAAAATGACAGATAGTGTAATGTATGTCAGAATCAGCCTGAAAATGAAATGATTAGACAACTTGTTGTCACTTGTAAGAATAGCGTGGTACTTGATAAGGTAATGAATACTAGAAAATCTTTGACGCAACGAGAGTATTAAACTTATGTTTTTATTTATGGATTTTTTTTATATTTATTTTTTAGTTCTAAATTTTTTATTTTTTTAATAAAAAGAAACATCAAATTCGGTGCACCAAATTTTTTCTCACTAGTCCCTTCACATATTACCAGGAACCCAGGATAAAAATACAGAAAATGTTTGTAAGGGAGGATGTTTTAGCTTGACTTAGTATGACAATATATATATTATATATGTATGGAAAAATATTTTTATCATTTTACTCTTACAAAGAGGCGAGATTCACACCTTTATATTTTTTTGATCACTATCTTTTCTTCTTTATCTATATCTTTCTCTCATTTAAAATGATACAATTTTATATTCTTTAAAATGATACATATTTTTTTTCATGAAAAGGAAGAGTAGAAGGAGGAGCCTAGTCCTAATTCAATTTTTCAACCTGAGATGACTTAATTTTAAGCCTGTATATGATCAAGCCCTTTGAATGCATGCTAAAACCTCGTACACACATAAAAATTCGTGGGGTATCTGCTGCCACTGGCACTTTTTTGGGGGAAACAATAAAAGGGGGAAAAGTAGTTTTCTTTCCCATCTTCCAAAACCGTCAAGGGAAAATAATAATTTCCTCCCTTTTTGTTAAAATCTATTGATCCGTGATTCAATAGTATAAATAATAATAATGAAGCAATCATCAAGGCACTCCCCTAGTGACTAACTTGTCAACAAACCATAATCTTAATTTCACATAAAAAATAACCATTTTTCCGAGCACCCAGAAGAAAGCTAATAGTTATCTTGTTCCCCGATGGATTAGATCAATGATCAACTAATCTTAAGACATTTTATAAGTCTAGAGAGTAATCATGGTAAACAAGCACCACCATTTTCATAAAATTCAGGCCAACTAATCATAATTATTAACCCACTAACAACATTAACATCAAACAAAAATGCAATAACCACTTTAAAAAAAGGGAGTGGACAAAAGATAACTCTTGAATTAGTAACATAAACATGCAAATAATACCTCAACTTTTTTCATCCATGAAGTTGCTTTCTGAACCTGCTCATTCTCCCACCCATTAATAACAGCACCTTCTCTCTTGAACCTGTTATTAATCTTAGCAACCTTAGCGTTCTGCCATGCTGATATCTTAGCTTCAACCTCTTCCTTCTTCACCCTCTGCACTGTCACTTCACTCTGACCACTGATGGTGCCTACTGAAGAAGATGAATTTCCATTGGTGATTCCTCCACGCCTTGAAGATGGAACCGTGTTCAAAGGGTTGTTATCTGGCACAATCGCCAAAGGGTTAGTTTCCTCCATCAAATCATCTTCTCCAATCCTACCCAAGTTGTTGTTAACGTTATTGCTTCCTTCTTCTTCTTCATTGCCATTGAAATTCATGATACTTGTGTTGTTATGGTCAACACTTGACCCTGCTAGAACAAGAGCACTGAATTCCCTGCTCATGGTGGTGAAGTTCTCGCTTGGAGCACCATCAATGGTAGCTATGGACATAGAAGATGATTGGTTGCTGTGTGTTTCCCAAGGTTCTCTTCTATGGCCACGGTTGGTGTGTGGAAGGTTATATGGGGTTAAGGCATGGATTTCTCTGATTTGTTCTTGAGCTTCATTCTCTGTGTCATGACTTGTTGAAGCACTTTGATCATTCAACATAGCAAGGACTTGTGAGTTGTGAGTGTTCGTGGGGTTCTGATGTTAGAAGTGGAACAGAGAGAAAGTGAAGGTAAAGTGGACAAGAGACAAAGTCAAGGGTATGATTTGGGTGTCAGTGTGTGTTTATTTATTTTGTGCTTTTTATTTTTGGGGTTCTTAAAAGATAAATAGAAATGGAGTTACTAGTTCATTCCATATGAATAGAATGTTCCTGTGTTTTTATTTTTACTTTTCAACTTTTCTTCTTTTAAATTTACTGGTGATCTCATTTTGTGGATAATGTCATGGATATTGCTCGATAAGTGACACCTTCAATTTCTTAATAAATATTGTGTGTGACGATTTTATATCAATATAAGTTATACTTTTAATTTTAATCGTTGATCTTATTTATATATGATAATTATAATATTTAGATATTTAAATTGTTAGATGAAAATAAATCAATATTCAAAATTTGGTATAAATTTTTTTATTCTTGTACCGTTATAAAAATTTGTTAAGCTAATTAAATAGTTATCAATATCGTTAGGTATAAATAAACTTTAATTTTAATTGGGCGTACGTAATAATATCATTTTATCATTTGACAATAATCATATCATATCCTTTTATTTTTCTTTCCTCCATGTAATTTTGTGTCTTTCACTTTCAATTAAATATTTTCATTCGTAATTAGAAAAATGTATTTTTTTTCATCTTGTTTCTTATTTTTAATATTTTCATCTTGTTTCTCTCACGAAATTAAAAAAGAAGAAGATGATAATATGATATTTTTATGGGAAATACATTTCTCATATTTCTTGATATAAAATTATTCTATGCACATAAAAAATGGATAAGATTCCCTTTTTTTTCTCCCCTTTTTTCTTAGTGAATTTCAGTTAGTTTTTAGTGTACGCATGAGACAAAATTATCTCATGCAATATAAGAAATGTATTCTCTTATTTTTATAATAACAAATGAAAACATATCAGGTGAATATAAAAAAAAATAAAAATCAAATACCCTTTAAATTTTGTGTGCCAAGTTGTAGTGTCAATTTTTTTTAACTTAAAAGTATTAGCATTTTTTAACACAACTTGGTTGTTACAATATCTTTTCCCTTCTTATAATACATAATTTGTTAAAAAGATATCAATTTTTTATCTTCTGTTTTTTTAAACTGATACTGTTTAATGCTTGGTCAATAATTAATTAATATTTTGTAGATGAATAGAACTAAAGTCGGAATCAATTTTTTAAGTAAAAGATATAAGATTGAAACTCATGTAATTTTTTTTATATAATTATCTAATAATTTCTGTAAGTTACTATCAATTGCCGTTTGTGCTTTAACAAAAACATGCTAATTTATTTATTTATTTAAAAAAAGGGGAGAGATCTACTTATCATTAATTAAGTTTACCACTTCTTATTACCAAATTTTAGCAATTTATTGGATGACACTTATTAATTAATTATCAATTTCCAATAAATCATAACCTTCAGATTGATGAAAATCAACGGTTAAGATTTAGTGGTAATAAGTGATGATTTTAAATGGTGATAAATATACCATGTCCCTTGAAAAAAAATGTTATTTCAATGTCCATGTGGAGATGTATACTTATTAAGTGACCCTTTGATTTAGATTTAAATATCTATAACACTAACTAATGTTAACTACATTATAAATTATAACTCGTACATAGGTCAATGATAATAAGAAGGTACTAGAGTTAATTTAATTAACTAAGTCCCACTTATCTATAAGTATAATTGGATTTACGGAAGCGTTTAGAAAGTTGTGGTTTGGACTGCAAAGAATCATTATGGTTATAATTTACCTCTTGATGCGTTGATCTATGTATAATCTCCCCGTGTATGAATCCTTTTCACAAATTTCTCTCCTCTGCGCCGCAGCATGAACGATCTCCTTAAGGTTGGCTAGTCGCAAATCTTTCAAACTATATCTCAAGGAAGAAGGGATGGTATGTGGGCACTCTCTCACTTTCAGGAAGATAACATTACCTAAACAACAACAACTAAACACATAAGGGTGATGGTTGAAAGAGAAGAATATATATGGGTTTTAAGAAGCACTAGCCCCAGTGTGCTTGGGCTCTAGGTTTCTTGGGTTTTTTTTACACGCTGAGCCCAATTAAGCTTTAAGTGAAAGAGCATAAACTCAACAATCTCTCACTTGCTCTTGAGCACAAACTTGAGCCCAAAGCCCAAGACCATATAACTCACTAGTCGTCATTAAGTAAAAATGCCTCATCCCTTATCTTGAGCTAGCCTGGGTTCTACCAGCTATTATTAATCAAGGCTCATGATAATCAACGAATGATTATATAATTTGATGCTACTCCACTAAAAACCTAAACTTGAACTCCAAAATTAATAACACATATATAACTCAAATACACATTGTCTTTTTGTAGAATGTCAATAATTGATTGATTAGTTTTCTGTCACTCAATCAATTATTTATTCCCTTGACTATGATAGTTTCTCTAATGGATTATATGCACTAGTCAGTATCTTCAATATCCAAGTACTGAAACATATCAAGGAGACATATCCTACAAATTCTATGTTGTTTATCTTATAAATACCAATAATCAAATAATTTCACTCCCAAAATACTGAGATCAGGCATCACCTATTGTTAAATCAAAGAATGAAAACTATTTCATTACGTATTTATAATAAACTCAGGATTAAGAGCAATCACATAACCATAGTTGACCGGAGATTTGATACGTTATGACAGAAAAAAAATCTTTATCAAATCTCTCCTTGATCCTTTTAATGTCAATTGTTAATTCACATCAATATTTTACAATGATTCAAACAAAAACATTGCAGTCCAAATAAAGCACCCAACTTTATTTAACAGTTGTGGACCTATTCATCAATTGTGAGAACTTATGATCATTTTCTCCATGAATGTTTCCAAATGATCATATAATCTACAATTGATCCAGACCTTAATGTTTGTAAATTGTGTGCACAAAATAATGAACAATATCTCATTTGTAGAATTCAAAAAATGGTTACATTGTTTCATTGTCTTACTCCAAGAGCACAATGAATATAATATCTCTCACTCGCTTAATGCAAGTCTGGGGTTCTCCTAAGACCCAAAGAAGTAGCATGCCTCTCGAACACAAGTTTAAGAAAACTCTCAGTAACTAAGTTTGCAAGACCCACCTCTGATGCTAGTTTAATATTAAACTGCATAGCTTGAGGTCAATTTTCTTGAGTCAATATCCACTAGAAAAACTGAGTTTGTGAAAAATCAGATTTTAAGACTCCTACTAAAATATCCCGGCATATAATATCTCATTCTCCAAAAATACTTGAGTGCATCTCTTAACATCAATCTAGTGTTCCTCTAGGATCAGAATGGTACCATCTCACTACTCTGACTACATGGTAGATGTCTGGTTTAATGCACAACATGATATATATGAGACTACCTATTGCCAAACATAAGGTATCATACTCATGCATTCTTCCTTCTTAATCGTCTTTAGAGGTTACTCTTTAGGAATATGAATTTCACGTTAGAGAGATATGATTCCCCTCTTAGAATTACTCATGTTGAATTTTGGCAAGAGTTTTGTCAATGTAAGTAGCCTAAGGTGACACTAACAACTTATTCTTCCGGTCTCGTAAGAATTTTATACCAAGAATATAATTGGCTTCCCCAGGTCTTTCATATCCAAATGCTTACTCAACCAACTCTTTATGCTTGACATTACCTCCATTTTGTTTCCAATAAGGAGCATATCATCTACATAAAGTACCAGAAAATTTATTGTCTCCTTTTGGATCCTTTACATACAAACACACACAATTCATCAAGATTTTCGCAAAATAAAAATTTTGATAACCTGATTAAAACTGATATTGCACAAGGTTTTCTCAAAATAAAAATTTTGATAACCTGATTAAAACTGATATTCCATGACCTGGATGCTTGCTTAAGTGCATAAAATGCACTTTCACAACTTGCATATCGTGTGTTCTTGCCCTTTGGGTATAAATCATGTTTGGTTGTTGCATGTAGATATCATCTTCTAAATTTTCATTTAGAAGAGTTATTTTGACATCTATCTACCAAATCTGAATTAAATTTCATAATTGTAGAGCAACTAAGAGAATCTAGATAGACTTAAGCTTGGCGTCTAGTAAAAGATTTTCTTATAATCCACACCCTCAATTAGGTGTAATATTTTGCCTCCAAACTAGCTTTAAGGTTTTTAGCTTCCTGTCTATCCTCTTTTTTTCTTATAGATCCATACACACCTAGTGGATCTTACCCTTCTTGGTGCCTTTACTAGAGACCGAACATAGTTGAAATAAGTATTTCACCTCATGGTTCATAGCTTGGAGCAATACTTGATCAACAATATCTTCTAGTACATTATCGTGACTAGTGGGATTAATGTCATTCAACAAGAGATAACTTGAGGTTAACAAGGTTATCTCCCACTACGAATTCACTACACTAAACCTTGTGTATCTATAGGTAGATTCAAATCTGGGTCAGATGGTGGATATTCAATTTTCTTAATGATCCACATACTATCTGTTAACAAATCCTTGATATTGTTCTTTTACATGTGATACTAATATTTCTACTAGTTTTAATTGTTTATTATCATGTTGAATTTCTAATTATGGTTCCTGTGTTTGTTTACCTAGAGGTATATTTTTTCCTTCTTTGAACAATTAAGGGAACAGAGGATAAAACTTCTAGAGATTCTGGAAATTCTTGATCTGAGATAAGTCTCATCGAGAATAACCTTACTTAGGGGCTTATAATTTTTTATATAATGCTCCTTTAATAAAGTCATGTGAGTGCTCACTAAGGCCATCTTATCCTTTATACAAAATAAGATCCAATCCCTGGTTTTCTTGGGTTAGCCAAAAGGTATGCACACTTTCGTACAAGATTTCATCTTATTTGACCACCATTGTTAGATGTGTTCTGGAGCATCCTACATCTGAATATAGTTTTGACTAAGCTTGCACCATTTCCATGATTCTACAG